TCCGTCCCGGCCTCCGCGCGGGCGGCCGCCGCCAAATCCCGCATAAACGCGCGAACATCGACGGTGTGGGGAGTAGGAGAGAGGCCCTCGTAGGTCGCCGCGAGCAGCGCGAGGTCGGCCGCGCGGAGCCGCAGGCCGGCGGTGGTCAGGGCCGTCGTAAACGCCCCGCGCGCGAGCCGCCCGCTCCGCAGGGGGTCGAAATCGGCGAAAAACGCCCCCACCCGCAGCCCCCGCGCCGCCGCCTGGGCGCCAATCGCGGACAAAACCGCGCGAAGCTCGGGCGGGTCGGGCGGTCGGGCGGAAAAAAGAGGGGGGAGGCCGGAGGGCGCGCCGGGGACCGGCGAAAGCGACGCCGGGGGGGCCCCCCCGGCGTCCTTCGCCTGCGTGGGATCGACATCGACGAGGAATTGGTAATAGTGCACATCCGCGCTCGCGGTGCCGTCCGCGTGGGGAATGGTGTACTTCCGAATCAAAAGTTGGAGCTCGTGGGGGGGGAGGATGATCTTTTGCGTCGCCAGCGCCCGCGCGAAGCGGGAGGCGGTGCAGATCCGATGCTCGGAAATCGATTTCCGGACGCGATCCATATCGCGCAAAACCGACGTCAGAAGGATCCGATTCGTAGAGACCTGTCGACGGACCTTCTCTAAGATTCGCTCGGCATCGCTGCTTTCTTGCAGACTGTTTAAAAAGGTATTTGAGGCGTGCGTTTTATGGAAATAGTTTACCGCATTGTCACTAATATTATTCAGGGCAATAATATTATTCTTAGGCTGCATATTACCAGAGGAGGTGCAGACCCTGGAGGGGAAGTTCTTGGGGTTTGTATCGTGTAGAAATTCAATATAACACACACGTTGATAGGGGGATATTGAACTCGCTGTGGTATTTTCTACCGAGAAGGATTCGGCTGTCTGGTCCATTTTCGAATCGGCGGCATATGCGCGAATTAAGGTGCAAATATTCTCTTGTGTTAAGGCGAATTTGACGAACTCCAATCGCCCAAGCGCGCTTTCGAACTGTGGGGCAGTCACCAAGCCTGTTTTAAACGGATCAAAATCAGCAAAATAATCCTCGCAGCGGAGTCGATAAAGAGAAAATTGCGTACGTAAAATCTCCACTAATTCTTCTGGGGAAAGATTCGGATTGCACACCCCGGGTGTCTTTGTGAACACGCCATCCAAAGGACTTTCTGACGTCATCAATGGGACACCGCCCCCTTCGCGCGTCATATTTTTCTGATCGTTAGGATTCCTCTCGTGAGAGGTGCCTGTGGTGGATCCCATAGAACACCCACTCAGGGTATCATCTACATCCCTGCACCAGGTCATATAATGCACGTTGCCTTTTCCATCCCCGTATCTTTTCAAGATTAAGTCCAGCACAGTACGCCCTGACGCGTTATTTTCATCTTTTCGACTTCCATCGGCAAGCGTATTCCCAGACGCGCAGGAAAGCGGCGTGAAAAGTGAAAGATGTTGTTGGAGCGCCATGGTAATGCATCGGGTAAATTGGGATTCAGTGACCTTCCCCGTCCGTAGGGGATCCATTCCTTTAAAGGCGGTCACTACGTGCAGCCCACGCGATTGGATAAGATGCCGAATACGTTTGAGCACCTCCCCCAACTGCCCCTCTTCTTCATCCGTTCCTTTTTGTTTGTCTTCCCTGGCAGCCTTCAAGCTCGAGAGATTTCCTGTTGGGTGATGAAATCCCCCTTCGACACCGGTCGGCGAGTCCGCTCTTTTTCCAGAACGAAGCTGTTCCTTGAGTGTGTTCATAAAAGCCTCATAATTCACAAAAACGTTCGCATTCTGGGGATTATAATAATTATCAAGAGGAGAAGGAGGAGAGTCAGGATTAGTATTCAAGCCTCCTGCACGTCGCGACGCCGCCGGCGTCCAGCTAAACTGCCGAATCAATGCCGCGAGTTCGTCCGGGGTGAGATCAACGTGATGGAGAGTGAGAACGCGGGTGAACTGTGCAGGAGTGATTCCCTTCGACCGCAGCCGATCAAAGTCGGCGAAGTAGTCGTGGAACTCCAGCCGACGGGCCAAGACCTGCTCGCGGATCTTCGCCACCGCCGCGAGGGACTCAGGTGAAGTGACCGTCATCCCAAAACGAACGATGAGCCAATGGACAACAATAAAGAAAACAAACAAAAAAGAAGATACCGACTTGCAATAATCCCAAACTGCACGAATTAACACGAATACGAAACGTGCAAATTGCAACCGAAGATGTCACGAAAAGGGAGGCACTCAGGCGTCCGTTGGGGCGATAGGGGTTCAACAGGGATTGCTGCAATAGGTAACGGAAAGGGTGGGGAGAGAGGGAGGGAAATACCTTGTACCGCCTTTAGCGAGAGAAAAAAAAAGGAGGGGAATAAAAGAAATGGATTGGATAATGATGGTCACACATAAACAACAGTGTATTATTATTTATTATTATTATTATCATTATTATTATGGATTTCTAGTAAATATAGACCTCTTCACAGAGAGATGGGGATACACAGAAGTCCTCTATACCTTGCTCATTCTCAGCAGTTGTGAAAAAGCCGCTTACGGCTAATTTCACCTATCCCCTCCCAAAAAAAATGTTGCGCTCATGTATTGGATAAAGCAACCAAACGGAATACCTCCTCAATAAAGGGGGGACATAAATCAACGTGGCGATCAAAATTTAAAACTTTTGATATATAACCACATCTCTTTTTCTGTTTGATTATCAATCAAAAACAAATCGCTCGGAATAATAATAATAAAGAATTACCTTATCTTAACAGGGAGATGGAGGAGGAGAGGAAGGAGACGGGGGAGAAATAAAAAGCCTTACAATTTCTCGTGGAAATATCCCTACCGTCATAATTGCTGCAGTCAGAAAACCATTACGCAGCATTATGTACATCCCCCACGGCGAACTCTTTGCCGTGACAAATAGACTCAACGTGATAATACCCATCGCAGGCATCTTCCATCTCTTTTCACGCATTGTTTTGCCTACCATATTCATCTGTGAAGAAGCTAATTCGTTTGTGGCGTTTGTGAACTTTCTTCCCGTCGAAATACGACCGGAAATATCTAAAAAATTGCTCATCCTACACACCTTTCGGACGACGTAAAGACGAACCTGCGAAACGCCCTGTTTGACGTACGGCCACTCGCTTGACCACACCACTACATTCCTGTTCGTACTATCTATATCATCCGAGCTCATTTTGGTTCTCTTTTATTGAATTAAAAGGCTTTAAGCGAGAAAAAATGGAAGAAGAGTGGAAGAAGGGTTGTTGTTTTTTGAATGTAACACCTTGGTTATTTTCTATCTTTTTTTTTTATGTCTTTCGTTCGGTTCTGGTGGCCAAAAAGTATGAAACCGTGTTCCGGATAATAAGGTTGAGCTCTTGGGTAAATAATAATAATAATAATGATAAAAAATAAATGGATAAGAGGAACTCAATAGGAAACTCCACTCCCTGTTTCATCGTTACGATTATTATTATTATCCTCTTCATAATGGAACGTCACAAGAAAGAAGAGTAATAATAAATCAATAAAGAAGAGATTGTTCCTTCCTGAAACTTTATCAAAATCTGTATCTTTTTCAGGAAAAGTCGCTTCCTCTCTTTATTTCTATTTCTCCTTGAGCATGGCGTCTTCTGGGCTGATGTAATACCCTGAAAAGACCTTTTCCTTCTCCTTTTGCATTTCCTTTTGCTCGCTTAGCGTGGTTGTTAACATCCTCAAATACTCTTGTCGTTTCCGATCGTCTTTTGATAGCTGATAAATCTGATATTCCTCGGCATCGCCGAACTTTGTGATGGCCCGCCAATATGTATTCCACATATGATTTAACCCACATCGCAAACAACGGAGATACCACTCCATACATTGTGGTTCCTGCGTTTTGGTTTCCTTTTCACGATGTTTTTCCATACATTTAAGCATTTCATTTCGTTGAGAAATGCAATGAGGCTCGAGAAGCGCATTTTGTAGAATCATTTCCTGATTGGGACGCGAACGCATGCAGGAGACGTACGCGTTATGCGTCTTTCGACAAAGTCTTTCATTAACTTTGTTATTGGTGTTTACTTCCACACTCCCGGTATCCCCTTCACGTCGGATTAGATTTTTATCCTGCAAGCAGGCCGTATAAAGATCGAGTTCTTTATAGCAAACATAACTGTTAAGATTCTGCCGAAGCATAAATTGATTAAATTTCTCCTCAACAGCGGGATCGGGATCGGCGCCGCGGTTTGCGATCTCGGCGTCCTGCTCATTTTTCCACTCCGTGAACAAGTCTAGGGAGTGCTGGGATTCTTTAGCGTTAAAAAGACGATTCATCATCACTTGGGCACGCACATGAACGATATTGAAAAAGGGTTTGACTATTATTATTATTAGTACAGACCCTAACTCCGTGATCGTTCGGTTCCTCTTTTGTTTATCGCTTGGATGCCTCTACGCTAAACCGATATGTTGTGGAAATCTAGTATTGTATAGACACTACAATTTAAGTACATATGTACCTGATCATTATTATGATGTGGTATTTTGATTTGTAACAATGGTGTTTTTTATTGGCAATATGAGTATGAATATAAGGAAAATCAAGGCGTGTGTGTGTATGTAGGAAAAAACTTCTCATTTCATCAGTGAAACCACGTGATCCCACAGTTAGCATATACAATATGCCAAAAAGGGTGACACACATTAGTGTTTTAAGGTATAAATGTATTTTTTAGTAGTGCTTTTTTTAGCCATAAATGAAAAAAAAGAAGTTAAATCACGCAAAAGGAATAAATATCGACACTTTTGAGGGGTGAAAGTCGAAATTCAACGAACGGTAAAAAGATTGTGATTTATTCCTTTGACGCAATTTAGCTTTGGTGTGAGTCTCCTATCCAATCAAATGATTGGGCGCTGTTTTGCCAGCCCTTTTCCTTCACCCCTTTCTATAATATTATCCCTTATTGTTCATCAATCACCCAATAAGGAACAACAATGGATAAGAAGAAAGGAGTTGAGGACGTAGAGAAGCGCCACAGACACACAAATCGTCAATATCAGAACTATCCTCAAACCCTGTTTATTTTTCTTGGAAAATATAGTACAGGCTCTTCAATGAATGAGTTTTGGCAAACCACAAAATGGGTTCAAAGAGAGCAAAGGTAAGGGACACGGAGACGGTGGAGAAAGATTAACAAGGCGAAAATGCCCTAAATCCAAGTTGTGCATACTACCCCTCTTTTTTCTCAAATAATAAAAAAACACTGAGATTGAGGACAGGTGTAATTCACGCGAATTCTGAAGTCGTGGCCACTTCGTATTCGTACCCTCCAGAAGTTATAAATAAAAGCTTGAGTAAAAAAATAGAAAATGACCGATTTTATCGAAAAACATAGGTTCTTCCTTTATCAAGCTTCATTTTTATTTACTTCCGAGCG